TCAAGGCTTAATGAGCTCACCAAACCAATTGTGTGTTCCAATTAATCAGTGCTAAGTAGTTACAGGTATTCAAATCAACAGAATGACAAGGGTGCCCAAATTTTTGCATAGCCTGTTTTTCACATCTGATTTAATTTCATACAACTTAATATTACTACACAAAAAATCTTTGTCTGGACAATACCCCAGTACTCAGCTTTTATTAGAAAAGGAATGGCATGCCACTGTGATCATTTTCTGTGACGACAGAGTAAATTATTATGCAGCCTCAGAGGGGTGCCCAAACTTTTTCATACGACTGTATGTATGTATACATGTATATGTCTCCCGAGTGGTGCAGTGCTGCATCGCAGTGCTAGCTGTGCCACTAGAGATCCTGGTTCGAATCCAGGCTCTGTCGTAGCCGGCCGTGACCGGGAGACCCATGGGGCGGCGCACAATTGGCCCAGCGTCGTCCAGGGTAGGGGAGGGAATGGCCGGCAGGGATGTAGCTCAGTTGGTAGAGCATGGCGTTTGCAACGCCAGGGTTGTGGGTTTGATACCCACGGGGGGCCAGTATAAAAAAAAATAATGTATGCACTCACTAACTGTAAGTCGCTCTGGATAAGAGCGTCTGCTAAATGACGTAAATGTAAAATGTAAATGTGTATATATATATATATATATATATAGCACTTTTAAAGAACAACCAGGCATCCTCTACTGACGGAATGAGGTCAATATCCATCCAGGATACCCGGGCCAGGTCAATTAGAAAGGCCTGCTCGCTGAAGTGTTTTAGGGAGCGTTTGACAGTGATGAGGGGTGGTCGTTTGACCATGGACCCATTACGTACGCAGGCAATGAGGCAGTGATCTCTGAGATCCTGGTTGAAGACAGCGGAGGTATATTTAGAGGGTAAATTAGTCAGGATGATATCTATGAGGGTGCCCATGTTTACGGATTTAGGGTTGTACCTGGTAGGTTCCTTGATAATTTGTGTGAGATTGAGGGCATCTAGTTTAGATTGTAGGATGGCCGGGGTGTTAAGCATATCCCAGTTTAGGTCACCAAGCAGTACGAACTCTGAGGATAGATGGGGGGCAATCAATTCACATATGGTGTCCAGGGCACAGCTGGGGGCTGAGGGGGGTCTGTAGTAAGCGGCAACAGTGAGAGACTTATTTCTGGAAAGGTGGATTTTTAGAAGTAGAAGCTCAAACTGTTTGGGCACAGACCTGGATAGTATGATAGAGCTCTGCAGGCTATCTCTACAGTAGATTGCAACTCCGCCCCCTTTGGCAGTTCTATCTAGATGGAAAATGTTGTTGGTGGCCTTCCTATGCCAGGATTCAGACACTGCTAGAACATCAGTGTTCTAACGCAGTGAATAACTCAAAATCTCTTTTTCTGAGCAATTGTATTACTATAAAATAATATAATTTTCACAAAATATTGAGCATGCAATATAGGTTATTATTTATTTCATACAGTCTTTTTTGCTCATCTTTATCAAGGGTGCCTATAATTATGACTGACTGACTGTATGTCATCTTCAAATGGGGAAACTAGATATATAAAGTGCTTTCTTGTTTTCATTTCATTTTCGACCAATGCCTCCACACATTTTGCACTCCACAATCTACAATCCATAACGAACAAGTCTCCTCTTCTGTATGAGTTTATCTCTGACAATGACTTTGACATGATATGCCTCACTGAAGAAACATGGCACAGAGAGGGTGACCTTTACCATCTTAATGAAGCAGCTCAACCTGAATTCAAATACATTGAAAAGGTGTGCAGCCTGACCACAAGGCTGTGACACTGTCTGTGACTGCTCCAACTCCTCTCCACTGCCCAAAGAAGACCATTAAATTCTGCCACCTGAGGAAACTTAACCCGTCCCTCTTTCAGGAACACATCAAGCCCACCTTTGCGTCTGACTGCAGTAAGCTGGCCCTCGATGACATGGTCAATCTGTATAACAGCACTCTGAGTAAAACCCTGAACATCCTTGCCCCTGAAAAAACATGTGAAGTAACATTCCAACGGTCGTCTCCTTGGTTCACTGATGAACTGCGCAGAATGAAGACTCATGGCTGTAAGCTTGAGAGACATTGGAGGAAGGATGGCCTCATACTGGCCTATAAAACCACCAGACAAGCTACTCTGGTGCCTTAAAAGCAGCACGATCAGCCTTCTACTCTGCCAGGATTGACAATAACAAAGTTAACCCCAGAACCCTGTTCTCTACCATCAACCACCTTTTCAACCCTGCAAACTCATGCTCTCCTGCAGCCTCATCTGAGCAGTGCAATCGCGTCTCAGATTTCTTCATGACAAAAATGGACACCATCAGGACAAACATCACGGCCTCTAAGACGGCCTGCACCTGAGCCTCCAACCCAGACTGCCCTTCCCTTCAGCAACTTTACAGAAGTCACATCTGCAGCTGTGCAGTCAATAATCTCTAAAATGAAGGCCATCACTTGTTACCTTGACCCTATCCCACATGCCTACTCAAAACCTGTTCATCTAGCATGCTTATGTTTGTCACCACCCTGATCAACAAGTCCCTGCTGTCCAGAGAGGTACCATCGATCTTCAAAACAGCTGCAGTCACCCCCTTACTGAAGAAACTCAACCTTGACCAGGACATCCTATCCAACTACAGGCCCATCTCCATCCTCCCCTTCCTATCAAATGTACTGGAGAAAGTGGTTGCAAATCAGCTTCAATCGCATCTGTCATCTAATCAGTTGTACAAGGTTTTCCAGTCTGGCTTCCGGCCTTTGCACAGCACCGAAACAGCTCTGGTTAACGTTACCAACGACCTACTGATGGCTGCTGATTTTGGATCTCCCAGCATCCTCCTCCTCCTCTTAGATCTCAGTGCTGCTTTTGACACTGTAGACCACATCATCCTCCTGTGGCGTCTCAGAGCACACTTCTGTCTCTGGAACAGCTCTGAACTGGTTCTCCTCCTATCTCTCCAAAAGGAAGTCCAGATCAGTGGAGTCTGCAGTCACATGCGGCGTCCTACAGGGGTCAGTGCTGGGGCCTATCCTGTTTTTTATTTACATGCTCCCCCTCGGCCAAATCCTCAGAGATTATAACATCAACTTCCACTACTATGCTGGTCTACATTAACACCAAACCGGACAACATCTCTGCCCTAGAAAAACTCAGCAGCTGCCCAGAGGACATCAGGGCATGGATGAAAGAGAACTTCCTCCAGTTGAACAGTAGCAAGACTGAGGCTATGCTTATTGGGACACCTCAGCAGGTCACCAGTGGCGGAAACATCTGCCCTACAATCAACGGCCAGGCCATCCATCTGTCCTCTGTCATCTCCAACCTAGGAGTCAAGTTTAACCCTTCTCTGTCCTTCGATGCCCACATAAAACAAATATGTAAAACATAATTTTCCATCTTAAAAACAGAGAAACTCATCCCCCGCCTTCATCTTCTCTCGGATCGACTATGGCAATGCGCTTCAAGTCTCCAAGACATGTCTCTGAACTATGGGGGAACGAGCCTTCTGCTCCCTTGACCCTAGCCTATGAAATGCTCTCTGAACTTTTAAAACAGGCCTTAAAACCCACTTCTACAGACTGCCTTTTTTATAGTCCATTTCCCAATCTAAAATGTATTTAGCACCTAGCCCACTATTGCTATTTTACCTGCCTTAATTCTAAATGTATGTTGTTTTTATTGTATATAATTTATATTTTTTTCCCTCAGTAGAGCTATAAAAATTACTTTGTAATGAAATGCGCTATACAAACTAAATGTATTATTTTATTTTCATTTTTATTAAACGGTAAATCAGATATGTCTGAAAATACCCCCAAATAAAAGGTGACATTCTGTACTGTCACCTCATATGAAACATTTGATATCAAATCCAAAATCCTGGAGTATAGAGTCAAATTAAAATGTTAGCTTCACTGTCCAAATACATACATAAAGCACATACAGTAACACAGGGATGTGTATCTGTACATATTAAGCTTTATAGTACCACAGTTCTATAATCACTCACTCCTATATGTGCTTACACATGCCTCCATTACACCCTCCTGTGGTAACACACACACACAGACACACACACACACACACCCACACACACACGTCTATGAAGAACGAACAAAGCACTCCTATGTGCTTATAACATACCTCCGCTGTGTATTCGAGCAGCGAGACAAATTGGTTGTGACAGTGTACGGTGTGAACGCCACAGGTTCCTGGCAACACACACACACACACACACGGCCCTCGCCAAAACTCCCATCTGTCACCGGATCCGCCAGGACGAGCCGCATGAGCCCTTACCCAGAATCCTCCTCTCGGGGCGTCGAGGGTGGCTGCGCTATTTACAGGACTAACAGATGCACAGCTTGGAGAAGATGAAAGTTTCACCTAATCTGATTTAGGGTCAGATTTTCTCCCTAATAGTTTAGGTTAGGATAGGGAGTATAGAATCTGATCCTTGATCTGCGCTTAAGGTCAACTTCTATAATACTGATACAGGGTCAGATTTAATTTAATCTCCTTTATGATTGAGTTTAGGATTTGGGGTAGTGCAATCTGATCCTAGATCTGTGGATAAGGTCAACTTCTATAATACATGTTTGGCGACAGCAGAAAGGAGGAGCAGTTGTTTCAGCTAGTGACACTCACTTTGAAGAAAATCCTGTATTTACTGTATGACCAACTTTTTTTTATTAGCACGTACAATTATTTGCATGCAGACAACAAAAGCCAACACATAATACATGAACACTCAAGCAGAAACTGTACACACTACAGTATCATTTAAATAATGGAGCAGTGTACGTAGAAGTGCATTCCAAAATCGTAACATTCAGGATTTTCGGATACAAAGCGAGCTGTAAACTAACTCTCATACATACACACTTCTCCTCCACCTAACCCTGTCCTTACTTGATGTCTCCCCTGTGTCACCTTGCTCGCCTTTCCCCTGTCCCGCTCTCTTTTTCTCTTCCTCCCTCCCTCCCTCCTTCCCTCTCTACAAAGGAAACACCAGAAACCCAGAGAAGGTGGAGTATTTCCATCCCCCCATCAGGTTCCCTCTCTCCAGTTTGAGATAAGCCTTGTCTCCTCTCTCCATGGTAACCAACCCAGCGTTGGTGGCTGCTTCCCTGGTCACGTCCTGGTCCCCGGCAAATGCTGAAATCACTGGGTGCCCGTTCAATACCAGACTCACCTGAGAGAGAGGGACAGAGGCAAAGGGGGGGTGGGAGGTAGGGAGAGAGAGAGTAAAACGTTGTTCACATTTGCAGTTTGAAGTGACTCAAATCCTATTATTTTGCATTCAAATATTTTCCTGCAGTCTGAACAGCCAAAAAGCACATGGAATCGGATATTTAAAGCCACATTTCAAACCACCTTCGTAGGTGGTTTGAAGTCCAATACAAATCTGATTCCTGGCCATGCGACAAATCTGATTTATTTGCCTCTTATTTGGCATATCTTCTTGCTTGCTAGCTACTCTGTTGACAGTTTGACAAGAACATGTGGTAGCTAACTAGCTTGTTAATTATTTACAAACAAATTAGTGACTGTGCTAGAAAGCTAAACAGCTACCTAGCCTGCTAGTTGACTACAGTGGCTTGCTAAAAATGACTATTTTTAAAAGTTGAATAATCTTATCCGTTGAGGCTTTAAAAGTGTTCTTACACTATGATTTTGAACATTTAAAGCAACTGGGAAACTTCCATGGCAGGCATTCTTGTCACCTTAGCTTGCTGCATAACTTCTGAGTTATAGGAAGCGCGAGCACCACCACCAATCAGCCTAAAACACTGCGCACACACACCTTGTTACTAGCGTAGCCATGTCAGTAAATTACTGGTGTCTGAACACACACAAATCCGATTTGATCACTTGTAACTTGCTGTTTGGACAGTCAGTATTCCAAAACAGATTTGAGCATTAAGGCCTGCAGTGTGAACAAGGCTTTATGTCCTGATCACCGGTAAAAGCAGAGATCCCAAATCACTCTGAGAGAGAGAGAGAGAGAGAGAGAGAGAGAGAGAGCTAGAGCGAAGATAGAGGAGAGAGAGAGAGAGAGAAATAGATAGATCGATAGACGAGATCGCTCCTATCTCTCGCTGCTCTCGCTCTACGACTCCTCTCTCTCTCGCTCTCTCTCTCTCTCCTCTCTCTCTCCTCCTCTCTGCTCTCTCCTCTCTCTCTCTGCTCTCTCTCGCTCTCTCTCCTCTCTCTCTCTTCTCGCTCTCACTTCGCTCTACCCCTCCCTTCTACCTGCAGGTCGTGCTGTTTCCCATGTTAAGTACCCAATTGTCATACTTGAGTACCTTAATAGAAAATGACTCAAGTAAAAGTGAAAGTCACCCAGTAAAATACTACTTGAGTAAAAGTCTAAATGTATTTTCTTTTAAATATACTTAAGTATCAAAAGTAAATGTAATTGCTCAAATATACTTAAGTATCAAAAGTAAAAGTATAATCATTTCAAATTTCTTATATTAAGCAAACAAGATGGAACCCTTTTCTTGTTTTAAATTTTTTTTTTACAGATAGCCAGTGGCATGCTCCAACACTCAGACATAATTTACAAACAAAACATGTGTTTAGTGAGTCCGCCAGATCAGAGGCAGTAGGGATGACCAGAGATGTTCTCTTGATAAGTGTGTGAATTAGACCATTTTCCTGTCCTGCTAAGCATTCAAAATGTACTTTTGGGTGTCAGGGAAAATGTATGGAGTAAAAAGTACATCATTTTCTTTAGGAATGTAGTAAAGTAAAAGTTGTCAAAAATATAAATAGGAAAGTAGAGATACCCCAAAAAACTACTTAAGTAGTACTTAAGTATTTTTACTTAAGTACTTTACACCAGTGCGTTTAAGATACTCACATTTTTCCTATACCCATCATGAGGTTGCTACAACCTAGCCTACGAATGAAAGTTTACAACGTACAGTGCCTTCAGAAAGTATTCATACCCCTGGACTTATTCCATATTTTGTTGTGTTACAGCCTGAATTTAAAATAGATTAAATAGATTTTATTTCTCACCCATCTACCCATAATGAAAGTGAAAACTTGTTTTAAGAAATGTTTGCAAATCTATAGAAAATTCAATACAGAAATATCTAACTTACATAAGTATTCACACACCTGAGTCAATACTCTGTAGAATCACCTTTGGCAGCGTTTACAGCTGTGAGTCTTTCTGGGTAAGTCTCTAAGAGATTTATACACCTGGATTGTACAACATTTTCCCATTCTTATTTTCTAAATTCTTCAAGCTCTGTCAAATTGGTTGTTGATCATTGCTAGACAACGATTTTCAGGTCTTGCCATAGTTTTTCAAATAGATTTAAGTCAAACTGTAACTCGGCCACTAAGGAACATTTAATGTCATCTTGGTAAGCAACTCCAGTGTAGATTTGGCCTTGTGTTTAAGATTATTGTCCTGCTGAAAGGTGAATTCATCTCCCAGTGTCTGGTGAAAAGCAGACTGAACCAGGTTTTCCTCTAGGATTTTGCCTGTGCTTAACCGTTTTTTTTTTAAATCCTGAAAACTCCCCAGTCCTTAACGATGACAAGCATACCTATAACATGATGCAGCCACCACCATGCTTGAAAATATGGAGAGTGGTACTCAGTAATGTGTTGTATTGGATTGTCCCCAAACATAATATTTTGTATTCAGAAAGTTTTAGCCTATCACAGCCAATAAACTCTAACTGTTTTAAAGTCACCATTGGCCTCATGGTGAAATCCCTGAGCGGTTTCCTACCTCTCCAGCTGCTGAGTTAGGAAGGACGCCTGTATCTTTGTAGTGACTGGGTGTATTGTTACACCATCCAAAGTGTAATTAATAACTTCACCATGCTCAAAGGGATATTCAATATCTGCTTTTTTCATTTTTTACCTATCTACCAATAGGTGCCCTTCAGATTGATGTGTGGGGGTACAGTAGTCAGTAGTTATTCAAAAATCAACATTATTAAACATTAAACATTATTATTGCAAACAGAGTGAGTCCATGCAACTTATTATGTGACTTGTTAAGAAAACGTTTACTCCTGAACTTATTTAGGCTTGCCCTAACAAAGGGGTTGAATACTTCTTGACTCAAGACATTTCAACTTTTAAGTTTGAATTAATTTGTAAAAATTTGAAAAACCTAATTCCACTTTGACATTATGGGATATTCTGTGTAGGCAAGTGACACAAAATCTCAATTTAATACATTTCAAATTCAGGTTGTAACACAACAAAATGTGGAAAAAGTAAAGTGGTGTGAAGACTTTCTGAAGGCACTGTAGGTGTCGAGAGACAAATTGGAGCTAAGGATCCTTGGACTAAACACCTCCCTCTGCAACTGGATCCTGGACTTCCTGACCGGCCGCCCCCAGGTGGTAAGGGTAGGGAACAACACATCTGCCACACTGATCCTCAACACGGGGGCCCCTCAGGGGTGCGTGCTCAGTCCCCTCCTGGACTCCCTGTTCACCCATGACTGCATGGCCAGGCACGACTACAACACCATCATTAAGTTTGCCGACGACACAACAGTGGTAGGCCTGATCACCGACAACGATGAGACAGCCTATAGGGAGGAGGTCATAGACCTGGCCGTGTGGTGCCAGGATAACAACCTCTCCCTCAACGTGACCAAGACAAAGGAGATGATTGTGGACTACAGGGGAAAAAAAGAGGACTGAGCACGCCCCCATTCTCATCGACGGGGCTGTAGTGGAACAGGTTGAGAGCTTCAAGTTCCTTGGTGTCCACATCACCAACAAACTATCATGGTCCAAACACACCAAGACAGTCGTGAAGAGGGCACGACAAAGCCTATTTCCCCTCAGGAGACTGAAAAGATTCTACAGCTGCACCATCGAGAGCATCCTGACTGGTTGCATCAACGCCTGGTATGGCAACTGCTCTGCCTCCGACTGCAAGGCACTACAGAGGGTAGTGCGTACGGCCCAGTACATCACTGGGGCCAAGCTTCCTACCATCCAGGATCTCTATACCAGGCGGTGTCAGAGGAAGGCCCTCAAAATTGTCAAAGACTCCAGCCACCCTAGTCATAGACTGTTCTCTCTGCTACCGCACGGCAAGCGGTACCGGAGTGCCAAGTCTAGGTCCAAAAGACTTCTCAACAGCTTCTACCCACAAGCCATAAGACTCCTGAACAGCTAATCATGGCTACCCAAACTATTTGCACTGCCGCCCCCCACCCCCACCCCATCTTTTTACGCTGCTGCTACTCTGTTAATTATTTATGCATAGTCACTTTAACTCTACCCACATGTACATATTACCTCAACTACCTCAACTAGCCGGTGCCCCCGCACATTGACTCTGCATCGGTACCCCCCTGTATACAGTTGAAGTCGGAAGTTTACATACACTTAGGTTGGAGTCATTAAAACACGTTTTTCAACCACTCCACACATTTCTTGTTAACAAACTATAGTTTTGGCAAGTCGGTTAGGACATCTACTTTGTGCATGACACAAGTGATTTTCCCAACAATTGTTTACATTATTTCACTTATAATTCAGTGTATCACAATTCCAGTGGGTCAGAAGTTTACATACACTAAGTTGACTGTGCCTTTAAACAGCTTGGAAGATTCCAGAAAATGATGTCATGGCTTTAGAAACTTCTGATAGGCTAATTGACATCATTTGAGTCAATTGGAGGTGTACCTGTGGATGTATTTCAAGGCCTACCTTCAAACCCAGTGCCTCTTTGCTTGATATTATGGGAAAATCAAAATAAATCAGCCAAGACCTCCGAAAATAAATGGTAGACCTCCACAAGTCTAGTTCATCCTTGGGAGCAATTTCCAAACGCATGAAGGTACCACGTTCATCTGTACAAACAATAGTACACAAGTATAAACACCATGGGACCACGCAGCCGTCATACCGCTCAGGAAGGAGACGTGTTCTGTCTCCTAGAGATGAACGTACTTTGGTGTGAAAGTGCAAATCAATCCCAGAACAACAGCAAAGGACCTTGTGAAGATGCTGGAGGAAACAGGTACAAAAGTATCTATATCCACAGTTAAACGAGTCCTATATAGACATAACCTGAAAGGCCGCTCAGCAAGGAAGAAGCAACTGCTCCAAAAAAGATCGTACTTTTTGGAGAAATGTCCTCTGGTCTGATGAAACAAAAATAGAACTGTTTGGCCATAATGACCATCGTTATTTTTGAAGGAAAAAGGGGGTAACTTGCAAGCCGAAGAACACCATCCCAACCGTGAAGCACGGAGGTGGCAGCATCATGCTGTGGGGGTGCTTGCATGCAGGAGGTACTGGTGCACTTCACAAAATAGATGGCATCATGAGGAAGGACAATTATGTGGATATATTGAAGAAACATCTCAAGACATCAGTCAGGAAGTTAAAGCTTGGTCGCAAATGGGTCTTCCAAATGGACAATGACCCCAAGCATACTTCCGAAGTTGTGGCAAAATGGCTTAAGGACAACAAAGTCAAGGTATTGGAGTGGCCATCACAAAGCTCTGACCTCAATCCTATAGAACATTTGTGGGCAGAACTGAAAAAGCGTGTGCGAGCAAGGAGGCCTACAAACCTGACTCAGTTACACCAGCTCTGTCAGGAGGAATGGGCCAAAATTCACCCAACTTATTGTGGGAAGCTTGTGGAAGGCTACCCGAAATGTTTGACCCAAGTTAAACAATTTAAAGGCAATGCTACCAAATACTAATTGAGCGTATGTAAACTTCTGACCCACTGGGAATGTGATGAAAGAAATAAAAGCTGAAATAAATTGTTCTCTCTACTATTATTCTGACATTTCACATTCTTTAAATAAAGTGGTGATCCTAACTGACCTAAGACAGGGCATTTTTACTAGGATTAAATGTCAGGAATTGTGAAAAACTGAGTTTAAATGTATTTGGCTAAGGTGTATATAAACTTCCGACTTCAACTACTGTTCTTTTATTTTACTTATGCTCTTTTTTTCTCAACACTTTTTTTGTTGTTGTTTTATTTTACTTTTTTATTAAAAAATAAATGCATTGTTGGTTAAGGGTTGTAAGTAAGCATTTCACTGTAACATCTACACCTGTTGTATTCGGCGCATGTGGCCAACAAAATTTGATTTGATTTGAGTAATCAAGGAGACAGACAGTGACACGTTCAATACAGCCTTGCACACTGCATCTAGCTGGTAGGTTTAACCCCGTTTTGTTTCATTTGCTTCCGTTTTGGATACGTTTTTTAAAAACAGAATTGGCAGAATGAATGCACCCCTGATCACCCGCACACACAGTTCACTTTCATAACACCCACATACAAACAGCATCGTCACTTTGCTCATTGTATAATTATTTCTCGCATCTATGCGCTCTCCTCCTCTCACCTTTTCCCTTCGCTTGTGGATTTCAGTGCACAACACAACAGCTGTTTGTGACCAGGCGAAAAATCCTTTCCAAGCCAAACTTTCATAGCATAACCGCTAACCGCTACACACAGCCTACATCGTTGTCAATGTCATCATATTAGCTAACATAGTCAATATAGCTACTAGAACTAACGTGCAGGTAAACCTGATAAATCAGTGGCAATAAATTAATAAAACCGAAAGCTTACCTTGACTTGGAAGAGTTCCAGTGTTGGACATCCTTAGCCAGCTACCTAACATCAATAGCCTTCCTCTCTCTTTGAGCCGAGCGTTTGAGTAGGCTAAATTAGCTAGCTGCATTAGCTAGCTAAGTAAGTGAAAGTGAAAAAAAGACAACAAAATCTCTCTCTCTCTCTCTCTCTCTCTCTCTCTCTCTCTGCTGCTTCTCCTTAATTTTTGAAGAAAATAATTTGTTCAAAACTGTTAAACTATTGTCTTTCTCTCTCTTTGAGTCAACTACTCACCACGTTTTATGCACTGCATCGCTAACTAGCTGTAGCTTATGCTTTCAGTACTAGATTCATTCTCTGATCCTTTGATTCGGTGGACAACGTCAGTTCATGCAGCAAGAGTTCTGATAGGTTGGAGGACGTCCTCCGGAAGACGTCATAATTACTCTGTACGTCTATGAAAGGGGGTGAGAACCATGAGCCTCCTAGGTTTTGTATTGAAGTCAATGTACCCAGAGGAGGACGGAAAATAGCTGTCCTCCGGCTATACCATGGTGCTTCCCAGAGAGTGCTGTTGAGGCTACTGTAGACCTTCATTATAAAACAGTGTGTTTTAATCAGTTAATTTGTGACGTGAATATATTTAGTATAGTTTTATCTAACTTTTTTATGTTATGCTATGGTCCTCCCCTTCCTCCTCTGATGAGCCTCCACTGGAAGGGAGAGAGAGATAATATACATACATTTGCTGTAATCCCCTACCTGTATTGTCTGTCGGTTGTATACTTTGACCACATGGAAGCAGAAACTGAAGACTCCTTTTCTGGGAGCCACGAAGATGCTGCGTGCTGGGTCAAAATGGCTGCCCACATTCACCAGGATCTGAGAGAGAGATGGAGAGAGAGAGTTGGGGGGAGAGAGAGAGGGAGAGAAATATATAGAGGTGGGGGACAGAGAGGGAGAAAGAGAGGGGAGAGATGGAGAGGGAGAGATAAAAAGTTGATAAAAGTTGACAAAAGTTGACTTCTTTATCATGTAAAGGTTGACCACAGTTATTCAGTCATGCTGGATGGTCATGGTATGGTCTCACTAACCTGGTCAAAGTAGATGGTCATGGTACGGTTGCTCATCTCAGAGGGTTCGTGGTTAGTGTTCCTGACGGCAGAGAACGCCACTCGACCGGTCCCCGACCGCACCGACATCCCCAACGCGTTACCCGACGGTTCCGACGAGGGAGTGGAGTCACAAACCACCAGACACTTCCCCTCCAACACGATTGGCTCAGTGTCATTCTGAGCTCTGGCCCCCAGGGGACCCCATTGGAGGAGAATAATTAGTCCAAGGAGAAGGGCGGGGTTAGGTGTCATTTTGGGGCGGGGCAAAGATGAACAAGGAAGAGGAAGGCGAGGCATATTGTCTCAAATGGTTGTGAGGTCTTGGGTGTTTTTTGGATGTTGGTTTTTCAGTTTTGACACAGTTGGAAATGTCAGTTTCCCACACAGTTTCAGTAGAAAGAAACAATCCTTTGTGAATACATGACAAATTTCAGTAAACCAATGTCTGTCTTTTCAGTCTTGTCTCAACCACACAGGAATCAGCTAGATCACAGTTTAAATCCTTCCGGAATCTTTAGTTGGTTCTGAAAAGGTTGAATCCCAGAGGGTCAATTGATCCAAACCCACTGAATCTGAATGGTGAATGGTGTACGCCCGATCACTTGGGCCACGACCCAAACCTCCTGCAGGTACGGCCAAGTTTGTCCAGGTTCCCGACCTGTGTTACCAGATTTGTAATACAAGTCTCAGTGGAGTTGGTCAGGTGGATTTTCACAGGCCAACCTTGACCCTGCCAAAGATAAAGATTCAGAATAGACATCAATTCACTGAGGAAGACAGTCTAAAGTCTTAGAATTATAGTATACAACATAAAAATGTCATAGTATCCTAGACAAACTCTTGAAGCAGGCCTAAAGTGACTGTAGTGCTCAAATGTAAACGAAAGTTAGATTTTGGGGTGGTGTAGATGGAGAAAGAATTCAGGGATGGGAAGGAAAGGAGGAGGTAGAAGAAGGGATCATCTAATGGATTGGCTTGAAGAGGGAGGGGGGAGGGAGCTGAGGCTATTGAAGCCAGCTGGTCACAGGAGGATGGCAGGAGAGGGGGAGGAGAGGGAGGAGGAGAGGCCTGCATCATCACTTCTGAGCTACCATCTGTAGGACACACTCTCCTCACATTCCTTTACACACACACATGCATGCACACACCCGCACACACATGCACACAGACGCACGCATGCATAATCGCCCATGTATTTGCAATTTCATATATTTATCCATATACAAAAATGCACATAGAAACTGTAAATGTCCCCATTGTTCCCCATAGTCTAAAGTCCTTTAAGCTCAGTGGATGGTAAAGGACACACAGTGCAAAATCTGCAGTTTTATACAAGACGTCTATATTTGCCCCTTGTGGAAAATGTTCTCTTTATTGACAAAGATTATTACAGAAAACATAAATTAAAGAGTAGTAAAGTGACAGAAATATGACATGACACCAATATTGAACCCTTTTCAAAAACCAATCCCACATTTACTTTTTTTGTGTAAAGCAGCAAAAATAATAACCTTTACAGCAGTGAAAAAAACTAAATATTAAATCTTACCTTTTACAATGAGTATATTTCCTGTATCGACTTGAAAGTTACTCTGTCCCAAGAGGTAGATTCCCCTTTCTCTGTCTCTTTTCTCTCTCTTTTCACTGACTCCCTCTCTCTCTCTCTCTCTCTCTCTCTCATCCCACCCTCTCTCCTTCTCACTCCCTCTCTTTTTCTCTCTCCCTCTCGCTTCCCCTCTCTCTCTGTCAGGGAACCCCTGTGTTCAAACAGACGTTTAATCATATCACAAGCATCATAAATCGTCTGTTTTCTCTCGCCCACAACCGCCTACCTGTTCCACACTCCTTCCTCTTCTCTCCATCATCTCAGATCCTCTCTTTCTACTCTCTATCCTTTTCCACTCCCTTACAGTTTTTCTCGATTGCTAAGACACATTTCTTGAAAGCTGCTCTCCTTTTCTCTTAACTGTGAACATAAAACCCAATTTTCAAGCTACATTCACAAAACCTCAGACTCTTCTTGCAAAACCAAACTTTCACCTCAAAACAGTTCAATCTGTGCTCAAAACTGAACTATGTTGTCAAATCGTGCCCCGAGTCAATCAAAATTAAAAACACTACTGAACAGTCACTAAACACTACGTAGAAAAATAGAAAACACAATGCTCAGGACATGAAGCTGGAGAAATAAATGTTTATTGTTCACTGTAGGCTAAATGCATGTTGCAAAACAAAAAAAACCTGTGCATTTAGCACTTGTACAAAAAGACAAAACAGAAATCTTGTGCATTTACATGTAGCACTTGTAAAAACAAACAGAAATCTTATGCGTTTGCCACTTGTGTACAGTAAGCCCATGTAAAAATAAAGTACAAAAATATACAAATAAGTGCATTACTCAGCCACAGCATCATGTCTCCGTACTGGGTCAGGCCACAGGACTTCATCCACATCACAGGCCACATTTTGTCTGGCCAGGCAACGGGGGAAAAAACCCCTGGCATGCCGAATCCAGGCTTGGCATGCCTCCACACCTATGTCACCACAGGCAAGTCCCATGGCTTGCAGGATATTTACCCTGGTGTAAGGTTGGCGTTCATATACCTTCCACCGCCATGAGGAGAAGAATTCCTCAATGGGGTTTAGGAAAGGGGAGTACGGTGGAAGGCAAAGATTGATAAAACCTTGGTTCATATTGTACCACTCTCTAACCTGGAGGGCTCTGTGAAAACTCACATTGTCCCAAACAACAACATAGATGGGATGCTCATCCTGCTGCCCTAACAAAGCATCTCGCATGTGATTGAGGAAAATGAGGAGCTGGTGAGTGTTGTAGGGCCCCAGGTTGGCATGATGGTGGACAACCCCATGATTGCTGATGGCAGCACATAATGTGACATTGCCACCACGCTGCCCAGGAACACCAACAATGGCCCGATGGCCAATCACATTACGGCCTCTTCTTCTCCTTTTGGTGAGATTAAACCCAGCTTCATCCATGTAGAGGTATTGATGGGGTCTTTCCATTGCATCCAGTTGAAAAACCCTCTGTAGAAATAGATATAGTTTTGTAAGTGATACGGAAAAAGTGATTTAGGCCTACAGTAAATCACTACTTAGAGTAATCAACATTGAATGTGTCTGGATATATGCCAACCTGTACATACTGGAATCTTTGCTCTTTGACTCTGTCTGAGTTGCGATCAAAGGGCACTCTGTATAGCTGTTTCATGCGCAGTCTGTTGCGCTTGAGGACACGATCAACAGTAGAGAGGCTGACACTGTTGATACCCTCAAAATGTAAATGGTCCTCAATGATCTTCTGCTGAATTTCGCTCAGTTTAATGGCATTGTTCTCACGGACCATATCAACAATTAGGGTCTCTTGGTGTGGGGAGAACATACCTGTCCTCCCACCCCCATGTGGCAGTCTTTCAATTCTACAAAAAGAGAACATGGAGTTACAAAAAATATACATGGCATACTAGGCCTACAAACAGTTAGACCAACCCTCCATTACAATACTACAGTACATTGGTACAGTGATGTACTGAAACATATATTTACTTACAGTATACTGTGGTACAGTATATAGTATGTCATACAGTAATTGCTGTCAACATTTACATACTGTACTATAATGTCAAAAAAAGGTAATTACCTGTTCTCTTCTCTAAATCTTCGGATTATGGTGGACACAGTGAATCTACTGATGTTTGGTTGTAACCTTTGTCCAGCCTCCCTCATGCTCATACCATGGACAAGAACATGGTCAATCACAGTAGCTCTGATTTCATCAGATATTACTGTTCTTTGTCTTCGCTGACCACCTCGACCTCCTCTCACACGAACTCTTCCTCTCAGATTTCTATCCATTGTAGGGCCTCACAAACCAGTGCTCTCTGAACTGGCTTACTGTATATGTTCCCTCACATCATTAGCCACAAGTGTGATCAATTTTGAGTTGTTGTGTTCAAGTGGTGACACCTGTGCTCTAATTGTGTTTGACTTTTGTCACCTGTGCTCACCATTATGCAGCACGGGTGCATCACAATGAAAATGTGTTGGCAAGTTATGTCTAAACAGGTGAAAAGTGCTTATGGTTTTGCCAAAAGAGTGATTGATTCAATCAGTGGATTCAGGCAACTGAGCATTTGGTTCAGACAATAGGGTTTAGTGTTTTAGCAATTGAGAAAAACTGTAAATGCCATTGAGCTACTGATAAAAGCACTTCTTGCACATTTAGACAATTAGATTTAGAAAAATTCAAGAATTTAATATAGACTTCTCACAGTAGAATAAGAATATCTATATCAGTAATTTGACCTAATGTGGTTACAAATTAATCTGTTCATCAGTACAGTTAGTCTTTCTCAGAAGACTTCTGCTATTTCTGGCCAGAATTGAGAGAAGATGACCAGTCAGACAACAGTCTCAGAACAACGTGATGTGATCGAACGGATGATTGACGGCTCCTCCCAGCCACAGACAGGGCCATGGGTGGGACTTTAGACCTAACAACTTCTTGTATATGCCCCTTCCACCGAACAGATGTGTTCTTCCTGCCGACATGGAGACGGGTTAAAGTATAGATACAGGATCTTGGTGAAGACACACCAACTATAACTATAAATATGGGCCTTATCGTCCACATTATAAAAGGGGACCAATCCCTCCTCATAATCCACAAACACCCCCACCTTCTTGGGCTTGTCTCTCAGGTGAAGGGGGATGGATGACCCGGCGCAGGCGTTGAGGTTTCCCCCTTTCCCGTGACACTCCCCTTCCTGTTGACGGACTCTCTGGTCACACCCACATCCCAGTCTGTCTTGTAACCCACCTGGAGGGAAGCGGGAGTAGACAGACAGTGCTTGAACTTACATTTTTTCCTTTCCTTTCACTGCACTTTAATGTTTTTTTATGTCCAGGTTCACGTTAGTCTAGTTTAGTAATCTTTTTCATGTGTTGTTTTCCATTTTCAATGAAATGTGCAAATAGATATACTAAACTAAACAAATAAATAAAATAAACTAGACTAACCAAAACTGTGAGCTGAGGTACAACCAGAACTCACAAGAACATCATCAGAGAATATCAAATCAAATCAAATCAAATCAAATTTTATTGGTCACATGCGCCGAATACAACAGGTGCAGACATTACAGTGAAATGCTTACTTACAGCCCTTAACCAACAGTGCATTTATTTTAAACAAAAAAGTAAGAATAAAACAACAACAAAAAAAGTGTTGAGAAAAAAAGAGCAGAAGTAAAAAATAAAGTGACAGTAGGGAGGCTATATATACAATAGAATAAAGTGACAGTAGGGAGGCTATATATACAGGGGGGTACCGTTGCATAGTCAATGTGCGGGGGCACCGGCTAGTTTAGGTAGTTGAGGTAATATGTACATGTGGGTAGAGTTAAAGTGACTATGCATAAATACTTAACAGAGTAGCAGCAGCGTAAAAAGGATGGGGTGGGGGGGCAGTGCAAATAGTCCGGGTAGCCATGATTAGCTGTTCAGGAGTCTTATGGCTTGGGGGTAGAAGCTGTTGAGAAGTCTTTTGGACCTAGACTTGGCACTCCGGTACCGCTTGCCGTGCGGTAGCAGAGAGAACAGTCTATGACTAGGGTGACTGGAGTCTTTGACAATTTTGAGGGCCTTCCTCTGACACCGCCTGGTATAGAGGTCCTGGATGGCAGGGAGCTTTGCCCCAGTGATGTACTGGGCCGTACGCACTACCCTCTGTAGTGCCTTGCGGTCAGAGGCCAAGCAGTTGCCATACCAGGCGGTGATGCAACCAGTCAGGATGCTCTCGATGGTGCAGCTGTATAATTTTTTGAGGATCTGAGGACCCATGCCAAATCTTTTTAGTCTCCTGAGGGGGAATAGGCTTTGTCGTGCCCTCTTCACGACTGTCTTGGTGTGTTTGGACCATGATAGTTCGTTGGTGATGTGGACACCAAGGAACTTGAAGCTCTCAACCTGTTCCACTACAGCCCCGTCGATGAGAATGGGGGCGTGCTCAGTCCTCTTTTTTTTCCTGTAGTCCACAATCATCTCCTTTGTCTTGGTCACGTTGAGGGAGAGGTTGTTGTCCTGGCACCACACGGCCAGATCTCTGACCTCCTCCCTATAGGCTGTCTCATCGTTGTCGGTGATCAGGCCTACCACTGTTGTGTCGTCGGCAAACTTAATGATGGTGTTGGAGTCGTGCCTGGCCATGCAGTCATGGGTGAACAGAGAGTACAGGAGGGGACTGAGCACGCACCCCTGAGGGGCCCCCGTGTTGAGGATCAGTGTGGCAGATGTGTTGTTACCTACCCTTACCACCTGGGGGCGGCCCGTCAGGAAGTCCAGGATCCAGTTGCAGAGGGAGGTGTTTAGTCCCAGGATCCTTAGCTTAGTGATGAGCTTTGAATAGGTGCAACTCTCACGATTAATTCACAATTAAATTGTTTTTAGTTTTTAGTTGTGAGCGATAGTCACTCCTAGCTACAGTATAATCTCTTAATATTGTCCCTCACCTGGACTACCCAGTACCGCCTCTCGGTGGCGAAGCCTTGTTTTCCCAGCACACAGACGCACACTTTTTTTTTGCAGGTATAATGCTTTATTATGAAGTTAATTATACAGCTTTTTATATGTAG